TTTAAAAAAGTTAGAGAAACAAAACTGTAAATATTTTCTTATAAACATTAAATATGCATATTTTCAAAACATTAGGAGATGGATTTTTCTCAAAGGAATGCAAACTTTTGTATCGGAATTAATTATGAAATGCATCAGATGTATACGAAAGAAAACATACATAATCACGATGACGAAACGAAGGAAGATGTTTAAGTTACTAATGGAAAGGAATTAAATAGTTAGTTAAGCAGTGAATTAATGAGGTAAATATAGTGGATAATTAATAATGGAAGAGTTAGTAGTATATAGAAAGCGTGACAGGTATGTCCCAATCAGTTTCCATAACTGCATTAATTAGCATCAATTTTTCGGTTGGGTCTTTGTTATTAAAGCTTCTCAACCACTATTGCAACCCAACTTCAATCCCTCAACTATTTATGTATATTCATTACTTCTGCAATTATCATCACTTTTTGTTCGTTCTTCAATATCATCAACATATACCCTTCATGCAATCAGTTTCCACTCTCCAATATCATCACCAATATTCTTCTTTCTAACGTGTCATGTCCATCTTTCAATTAAATTCCATTTTCACCATTTAAGCCCCACAAATTGTACCACTATCACACCTTACAGCAAATCATATTTCTTCATAACTTTCTCAAACTCTATATTACTTGATATTTTCGTTGTTGATAGTACTTAGTGGTGCCCCATTTGTATGTGTCACAATTAATTTTATAGGTTGTACGTGACGCATGCGTTTTTAACTCTCTTTTCTTCTTACCCCATTGGAGGAGAAGGTGTCATTGTTACAAAGATAGGATGAGAGATTGTTCACTTTGCTTAATTTATTTATTGCTTGATCTTAAAAAATATAAAAAAAAAAATATTTTATGTGAACCAGAAAGAAAGACAGTGGTGTCACAAGTACTAGATGGAGTGGTGGAAAAGAGGAGCAAAGTAAACCAATTATTAATGCATTAAAAAATATAGGTAATCGGTTGGGTGGAGGCAATTAAAGTTGCTTTTAGACTATTGAAAGTCTGGGAACCAAATGGTGTGAAAATTTCCTCTTCGGAATGGCTAATGAAACAACGAATTATAAAATGGGTTTTTGAGGATGTTGATTATGGTAGTCAAATGGTGAAGAAGAAAATAAGTTGTTGGTATGGGGCAGCGTATGTGAAAGTACATGTAAAAGATGTTATGAACATCCAAATATTCGGTGACTTTACACTTTTATGGTATGGCGTGACAGTTTCTGCTGTATGCCTCTAACATGTTTCGATAAAATAAATCTGGCACTTTTGTTTCTCTGTCTACGTGTCGCGTCTTCTCTAAATATCTGAGGCCTTTTTTAATTCAATATATATTAGTTTGAATTAGACTTGGGATTAATTAAGCAAAGTTCTTCTTAAAATGACGATTTCCAAAAAAAAAAAAAGTGTTTATGTCGTTTAATTACGTAAAGAGAATTTGATTCCCTCCGCCAAACGAGGAATTCTTGTGCGTAAGGAAATGATTTCCGTTTTAGGGTAGACTTGAGTGATAGATTAAAGCTTCTTAAACAAAGTGTGGATTAACTAACTAAACACTTCACAGTTAAACAGTGTTATATAAATATCTTAGATATTTTATTTATTACATAAAAATATCTTAGATATTTTAAACAATTAAGTAACTAATCACATTTTTAGGTAAGGTTGTTATTTTTTTTTTGCTTATAAATACAGTAACAGGACAAAGGTCCGGGACGTTCTCTCTATGCTCTAGAGACCCTAAATAATATTTCAGAGCAGTACCTCCCCCTCCTTTAACGAGTATGAACAACAACAATTGGAGAAGAACAAACATTCAGGAGCAACAAAAACACACGGAACAACATTTACACTGAAACAAACAGATTTCTAATAATTATGAAAATGTTGTGCCTTATTCAAATATGACACCATTTCTAATATTTATATATTTTAGTTCAACTCGTTAACAATTTCGTTAAAATATATTTTAATCCTTATGACCTTCATATAAATATATTATAAATTTAAATCAATCTTATAAAATTAATATCTATAATAAAGATTATACCTATATATATATATATATTTCCTCTTATCTCTAATTAAAAATATTTTTTAAGAATAAAATTACAGCAATGTCAGTTAATGTTTATGCATATTACACATATAATCTTTTTTTCCCTTTTTTCTTACTTTGAGTGTTTTGAATTGAATCCAAAGTTCTATTAGAGAAATTTGAAGGGACTTTGATTTGATTGGATAGGAAAAAAGTGCATTAGCTAGTGATTCCATCAGAAAAATGTTAATTATCAACATGTTTTTCAAAATTCAATAATAAAAGGGAAAAAGGAAATATTTATTTTTGGTTAGTATTTGTTCGAGATATAGTATACCTTTCAAATCCCTCTCCTCGGCCACCAAACCACATGGACATGATGGTTTACATATGATACGTGAACGTAATAAATCAGGGATGCGCAAGATTTAGTTTTTCAAACCACATTCTTCTTATGATTAACATCAACTTATACTAATAAATTGTGTGTTATCATTATTAGTCATAATAATAACATCTCAAAAACATAAAAAAAAACACTAAATTTATGATAAAATTACACAGTACACATAACACGTATTCATTATAAAAAAAACTAAAGAAAAATATAGATAAATAATAATAAATTTATAATTTCATTCACAAAAATCATTTTATATTTTAAATTTCATATTCTAGAAAAAAAATTATCATTAATTAATTCTCTTACATTAAAAAACATTAAAATTTATTAACTTTTTTAAAAGTATTTATTTTGAAGGATTTAAAATTAACAATTTTTGACCTATTCCTACTAAATTTTCTTCTTACTTAAAATGGTTTATTAAAACTTTTCAGTCATGAAACACATTTAGTTTATTTAAAAGTTAATTTCTTAATAATCATAATACTAATATCATTTTTATTTAGTTTTATTATAGTAACTTGTGCGTATTGTTATTATTATTATTTAAATTTTTATGAATTAATTTGTTGAGTCTATCAAAGAGGAAATTTATTGAAAAGACACAAACATCAATAATGAGATATGAGACTAACTATATAAGGAATTGATACTACTCTCTACCCAAAACTTGAAGACAATGAGTTAATAAGTCTTTTATCTTTATATGTTTTACTTTCTTATTTATTTTCTTATTTATATGAAACGTGGGACTTAGACTCACACTTAGATTTCAAACACATTTTTCATATTATAAACTTAGGATCAAGTACATGCTTATACTAAATAATATGTAATAGATATTTGGCTTAATACCTCTTTTGGTCCCTCGAAAGGGAGGAAATGTTCAAGTGCGTCCTACGTTTTTTAAAAAGTTAAATGTGATCCCAACTTGTGAAAAAAGTGTGCAATTAAATCTTTTTTGGTCATGGCGTTAATTTTTTAACGGTCGAGCTGACAACGTGAACTGAACTGTGCAACGTGTCAGATAATGTGGCAGTGGTTAAAAAATCTAAGGGGTTAGGGTTTCGGTTCCTAACACTTGGTCTCTGAGGTGAGGGAAGTGTTTGGGACGAGATAGGAATGACTTCTTCCCAGGGGTGTTCTTTTAATTTTGAAGACCCTTTGAAAATGGTGGCAGCAAAGTAAGCATGGCTAAGCCATTCCTCCTCCGATTTGGGAACTAACCAAAAAGATCAATTTTTAGGGTTCTTGGTTTCGTCAAATCAAAGATATTTTCTCTATGCAGCAATGGATAGCAGTAACTCGGAACAGGCCGTGCTTGATGCCAAACTCTATAGAAACATCAATTCTCTCATCGTCGCACATCTTCAGGACAACAATCTCACCTATGCAAGCCCAATCTTCCTTCAAACATAACCTAACATGTTGAATGAATGCATTTATTTATCTCAGAAACCAATTTTCTTTTCTATTTATAAAGCAAATAAAATGTTTACTAATTTTTCTTCAGGCTGCAAGTGTTGGTGCTTTAGTAACGTTAACCACTGTCACGTTATTTGTAATAATCAAATTTTTACTCTCAGACAGCCACGTATTCACTTTAAACAGACACATTGCATAGTTCACTACGTTGTCACTTGAACCGTTAAAAAATTAACGCCGTGACAAAAAATGATTTAATTACACACTTTTTTCATAAGTTGAAACTACATTTAACTTTTTAAAAAACGTAGGACGCACTTGAATATGTTTCCCCTTTCGATGGACAAAAAAGTATCAAGCCTAGATATTTTATCTTTTATAATCACGTTTTATGTTTATTGATGTTTTAGTTGAACTAAATAAATTGTCTTTATAATTTTATAAAGACAATATTACTTTGTTTTATAACGTGGAGATATAATAAGATATATTGTTTCTGGATGGATGTATATCAGGAATAATTACATTCGGTATTTGACCTTACATTTAGGTATTTGACCTTGTCAACTCTTTTGGTGTACCTCGATGCAGTGTCATGAGTTGAGTTAATATATTACGTACACGTAGATGGGACCTCAACAAAAGTAAAATAATAATAATAATACTTATTTGATCTCACATCTTTAAATATTTTGAATCTTTTTATTTTTTCAGAAATGTTGAAGTAATTATATCCTTATTTGCATGAACCACCACCGTTGGTGCATCTGATGTTTTTATATGCTAGAAATTACGAATATTCAAGACCCAGATTTTGAATGGTTCCCTCTTCCTTTTCATTACAGTTTATGGTAAGTCTCAGTCACGGACTCATCCAAACCCATTTGAACTTATCTGGAGCCTACACACACACACACATATATATATATATATATATATATAGCAAACTTCAACAACTACTCTCAATGTAATTTAATGCAGACAGAGAGCAAGAAAGAGAGTGCAGTTGCATACTGCAAAGTCACACACAGCTCATCATCACTATATGAACCACTCACGCAATGACCAAAGAAAGAGCTCAATAACTGTAACAACACAATCAAGCACTGAAGATTGAATAAACATTCATATTATATTATTATATTATAATTATGTTAAGGTTACTGTTATTACTAGCTTAATAAGTCGAATCTGAACCTTGCATGGTATCAAATCTTCGGTGATAATAAATATTCCATCTTCTTTTCTACATTGTATATTATGACACATCCACCACCACCTCCTACCCCATTCCTAATCTCTCCACGTTAGCTACTTTCTTCAATACAGCAGCACAACCAAAATCACTACGTGCCCACCTCCTCTTTTCCTTTCCCATCTTCACTTTCTGCCTTTTTGCAAACGTACATTGCAGTTTGCAGTTGCAGGGCACCTTCTTGTGTTAGCTACTACTAGTTTTTTCTTACTTTTCAGAAAAAAAGGATTGTTCTTCTTTTTTTCTCTCTTTTTTTCTGGCCAGAATGTCAGACCGGGGTACCTTCTCCGGTGACTCGGCCGTGGATGCTAAGAGCAAAAAGGAACATAAAGTTTCTCTGCTGAAACTCTTCTCTTTTGCTGACTTCTATGACTGTGTCTTAATGGCCTTTGGATCTGTTGGGGCATGTATACATGGTGCTTCTGTTCCCGTTTTCTTTATCTTCTTTGGCAAGTTGATCAATGTCATAGGCTTGGCCTATCTTTTCCCCAAGGAAGCCTCTCACAGAGTTGCCAAGGTTTGTAGCAACAACTAACAACCTTTTCTCCTGTCCTCTTCCATATTAACCTTCCAAGGTAGTAACTGTTTGGCTGGAAAAAAAACAACACTTTCTGTCAATTGAAGGCTAATTTGGACTTAACTATTGCATTCAAGAAATGTAACTATCTTACTAGCTGCATGTTTTAATGTGATACTTGTTTTCGATTTTGCAGTACTCTATGGATTTTGTGTATCTAAGTGTAGCAATATTGTTTTCATCTTGGATAGGTATGAAAATAGCCAAGTCAAAAATCATGTGTTATCTCAGTTGATTTAATTTTATCAAATCTTAGTAACTAAAGAATATAATCAATATTGATGTTGGATTGATCATATAGAGGTCGCTTGTTGGATGCATACTGGGGAACGTCAAGCTGCAAAGATGAGAATGGCTTATTTGAAGTCAATGTTGAATCAAGATATAAGTCTATTTGACACCGAGGCATCAACAGGAGAGGTTATTTCTGCCATCACCAGTGACATTATCATCGTTCAAGATGCACTATCCGAGAAGGTATGCATTTTAACCCATATTTCTTACTGCTTCCATGCATTTCTGAATGTTTTTCCTATCCTCATTACATATAAACTAAGAAGTTGTACAAAAACTTATTCCCATGTCAATTTCAATTTTAATCTCATTCAGTTTTTTTGTTTTTTTCTGGCTTCTTCAATCCATCTGGTGAAATTGTTTTCATTAATCATTATTAATTGCCGCTTCAACTTTGTTCGGACAATTTTTAGTTTATGGAGCCTTCCCCTATTCTTCTCTTCCCCAAACCAGTAAGAGACATAATTTTTTTTAAGAAGATTTTTCTTCATGTAATTTAAATAACAGGTAAGACTACAATTAATTGTTATTAAGAAAGTTTCCCTTGAATATAGATTTGAAAATAGAAATATTTTGAAAAAGAACATTGAATACACCTATTAAGATATAATAAATGCTCTTATTTGGGTAACAGCGCGGTGGGTTGGGGAATTTCACTTGAAGCGGTAAAATAATAACTTCACCATTTGGCGTTTCTTATGGTTATGTTCTTCCCTTCTTCCGCGCCTGTGTTTTGTCTCTGACACCATTGATATACGAAAATCGAACAGTGTGGATTTAATGCATCCGATAGCATTTATGCGACCGGTCGATATGGTTACGTTGTTTTTAAGGTTTTGAGTTTTTAACCTGAGCTGCATGTGCCTCCAATAAAATGCACACTTACTTTAGGATGCATGCAATTATGATTCGGCATCTACCAACAGTATCCCTGTGACCATTCACCAGACACGTAGCCACAACCATATGCCACACTAAACCATTTCTATGGTTTTAATCCATTTGAATTAATGGAACAATTTTTGTGGTCATTTACGTTTTAACATTCGAAGAGTTCAACGTTAATTGTTTATCAGAAGACCATTAAACTTTGTCAACTTAATCTATTGTGGCATTATATGATGTAATAATAAAAGCTGTTGCACATTCTAAATTAATTAGCTTTTTTCATGGGTTTTCTCCTGTGTATTTCGTTACATGGATAGAATTACTTCTAAATAAGTATTTTAAAACTTAACGAATGCATGTTTTTGGTAAAAAGATTGATAATAGTTGAAGATTGGAATTTACAGGTGGGGAACTTCATGCACTACATAAGCCGATTTTTAGCAGGGTTTATTATTGGGTTTGTTAGAGTGTGGCAGATAAGTCTTGTGACTCTTTCAATTGTACCTTTGATTGCCCTTGCTGGAGGTCTTTATGCATACGTCACAATTGGTCTTATTGCAAAAGTTCGAAAAGCCTATGTGCGAGCTGGGGAAATCGCTGAAGAGGTAATTAATTAACTCAATTTTCATAAAAATATTCAACTGTTTTCTACTTTCTTGTGTACGATCAAAGAAAATCTTGCTACCTATGTGGTTTGGATTATTTAGGGTTTTACCAATGTTCATTAAAGAATGCTAGATACCATGTGAAATTCGTGCTATTTACAATGTTTTTTAACTACTAAGTGGAAATTCATGCATAACATTAGATTGGCAGGAATTAGGTCACTATATTAAGAGTGAAAGCTGTCGTATTTGCATGAATTTCAATCATAGCGTGTGGCTAGTTCTTTAAGACATGGCTCAATGTTGTACTCTTTGTGAGTTTCAGGTGATAGGTAATGTTAGAACGGTTCAAGCATTTGCTGGAGAAGAAAGAGCAGTAAAGTCGTATAAAGCTGCTCTCATGAAAACTTATGTAAACGGTAGAAAAGCAGGTTTGGCAAAGGGCCTGGGCCTGGGCTCAATGCATTGTGTCCTTTTTCTATCGTGGGCTTTGCTTGTTTGGTTTACTAGTATTGTTGTTCACAAGAATATTGCAAATGGAGGCGAATCTTTCACTACCATGCTCAATGTTGTGATCTCTGGCCTGTAAGCCCTTTCTATCTTCTACATGACATCCTAGAACAGTTCATAATAATTGTGTATCGTGGAATAAGTTGCATCTTATTTTTGGTTTCAATTTTCATGCAGAAATTTGCACATACACACACATGTAGTGAAGTACATTTTTCTGATAAGGCTGATAATGATAGTAAATTTTGCTGTTATTCACTAGAGTGAATTACATATAGTTGAATAATAGTATTAATTAAAAACATGTTACAGTGTGCTTACATATTTATTCTAATCTTAATCATATTTTCTTCCTTCTACAATATATTTATTAATGTCATTTCCTTGCCAATTATTAATACAACCAGACTATAGTTGACATTGCATTATGGATTGTATCTAGTTTAAGGTTGTATTTCTTGTGTTAAATTTTTTTTCTTCATTAAGGTAAGTGTGAAGGTCGTGTTTTGTTTCTCAGATCACTTGGGCAGGCAGCACCAGATATCACTGCATTCATTCGAGCAAAGGCAGCAGCTTATCCAATCTTTGAGATGATAGAGAGGGACACAGTGACCAAAAGTAGCTCAAAAACTGGTCGCAAGTTGGGCAAATTGGAGGGTGACATCCAGTTTGAGAATGTCTGTTTCAGTTACCCATCTCGTCCAGATGTAGTAATATTCAACAACCTTTGTCTTGACATTCCTTCAGGGAAAATTGTAGCCCTTGTGGGAGGAAGTGGTTCGGGAAAGAGCACTGTCATATCATTGATCGAACGCTTTTACGAACCACTTTCTGGACAGATACTGTTAGACAGAAATGATATCAGGGAACTTGATCTCAAATGGCTTAGGCAGCAAATTGGGCTGGTAAATCAAGAACCTGCCCTTTTTGCTACAAGCATCAAGGAGAATATACTTTATGGAAAAGATGATGCCACTCTCGAAGAACTAAAGCGTGCTGTGAAGCTTTCAGATGCTCAGTCTTTCATTAGCAATCTTCCTGATAGACTAGAAACTCAGGTAAGATATTTATGTGTATTTCAAGAGGTTTTCCATAACAAAGTAAATATGGTGAACTTTTTCTTTTCCTTGAGAGGTGATAGTGGTTACACTAAATCAGTTTTTTATCTTTTCAGGTTGGTGAGAGAGGGATACAACTGTCAGGAGGGCAAAAACAAAGGATTGCAATATCTCGTGCAATCGTGAAAAATCCATCAATTCTTTTGTTGGATGAAGCAACGAGTGCTCTGGATGCTGAGTCTGAGAAGAGTGTGCAGGAGGCTCTTGATCGTGTGATGGTTGGGAGAACAACTGTTGTAGTGGCACACAGACTTTCAACCATCAGGAATGCAGATTTGATTGCTGTTGTACAGGGAGGGAAGATTGTGGAAACCGGTAACCATGAAGAGCTCATGTCTAACCCAAGTAGTGTATATGCATCTCTTGTTCAACTCCAAGAGGCAACTTCTCTGCAACGCCTCCCTTCGGTTGGTCCTAGCATGGGACGCCAACCAAGGTACTTTATTCTCATTTTCATCGGGACACTTAAATGTAAAGCTTTGATAAAAGTTTTAAAAATACACAAGTTAATTGAATGCTTCTGTATGTCTTTTACGTTTGCCTCTTGGATAACAATTCCATTAACGTGCTGTTTATGATTATATATTTCTTTTGGTTGCAGCATAACCTACTCGAGAGAGTTATCCCGTACAACCACCAGCCTTGGTGGTAGTTTTCGATCAGATAAAGAATCTATTGGCCGGGTTTGTGCTGAAGAAACAGAAAATTCAGGCAAGAAAAAGCACGTTTCAGCAGCAAGACTGTATTCTATGGTCGGTCCTGACTGGTTTTATGGGGTTTTTGGGACCTTATGCGCATTTATTGCTGGAGCACAGATGCCACTTTTTGCACTCGGAATTTCTCATGCACTTGTATCATACTATATGGACTGGGACACAACATGTCGCGAAGTTAAAAAAATAGCTTTTCTCTTCTGTGGAGCAGCAGTTATAACAATCACTGTCCATGCCATTGAACATCTGTCTTTTGGAATCATGGGAGAGCGACTTACCCTTCGTGTGAGGGAAATGATGTTTTCAGGTAATATTTATCAATTGATTATTACTTGCTCCCATCACTTGTTCACTTTTCTTGCCATGATTTGTTTCCTTTCAAGCTTCTTACTTCAATCAATTCACACTGAATGTGAATGTATCAGCAAAAATCCATTATTTTGTAGTTTGTGTTACACATTTTGAGGATTCGGTATGTTCATGAATCATGATCAGTAATACAATTAATCAATTCATTTTCTGATGAATTATATTTTAAAGGTGCATTTGAGTTTTCAGTATTCAATATATTATTGCCTTTTTTACTTTTGATGTATATAAAAAATCTGAAAACTAAATACATAGCTATCGGAGCTTCTCAATTAACTTCCCTTGCTCATCTGGGTGCAGCTATCTTGAAGAACGAAATTGGATGGTTTGATGATACAAACAACACAAGTTCTATGCTTTCATCGCAGTTAGAGACTGATGCTACATTGTTAAGAACTATAGTCGTTGATCGTTCAACAATTCTGTTACAGAACATTGGTTTGGTTGTTGCTTCATTTATTATTGCCTTCATCTTGAACTGGAGAATAACACTTATTGTCGTAGCTACATATCCTTTTGTCATTAGTGGTCATATTAGTGAGGTGATTTTCCTTATTTAACATTTCAACATCATAGAACTAGCATATCTTTCTGCGTTTTAATATTTCCCCGGGATCATTTCAGAAACTTTTTATGAAAGGATATGGTGGCAACTTGAGCAAAGCATACCTAAAAGCCAACATGCTTGCTGGGGAGGCTGTGAGCAATATACGTACTGTGGCTGCATTTTGTTCTGAAGAAAAGGTCCTTGACCTTTATGCTAATGAGCTTCTTGATCCCTCTAAACGCTCATTTAAACGAGGCCAAATTGCTGGCATATTCTATGGCGTTTCCCAGTTCTTTATTTTCTCATCTTATGGTCTTGCCCTGTGGTAGATGTTTTAACTTTATTCTGTCTTAAGTAGGCTACTTGTAGGATTAATGTCTTACCAAATGCTGGTTACATTTGTGCTTAGAGTGTAAACCTTTTGCAGGTATGGATCTACATTGATGGA